CATGGTGAACTACTATTAAAATTAATTCGTACCCCAGTCTTCGAGCTTAACCACGAGTCCTACAGCCATGGCGTACAGAATTGTTTTGGGGCTTGTAAAATTCTTCTCTACATGCCAACAGATTCCAACTTAAATGTTCGTAAAATTGAGCTTCCGGCTTGTGGATTCAAAAGTTTATCGTGAAGACTGGTACCCAGCCACTTATTTTTCAAGCGCATCTTTCCCGTTTGACAGAAGGGCCTAACATGCCTTTAATTTTATGTTTTATTACTTATGAATTAAAGAACACTTTCATTAAGAGTTAAAACTTTGTCCGTCACTCCCTATATCTGAAAAGAGGGTGGTAAAGGGTTATTTTCGTGCAACTTGTTTTGCCATTTTTATTTCACGTGCAGCTGTGAAAACAGGTTCGTTATTCACCGTGTTTCGTGAAATCGGTAAAAAGATCAACGTGCAAGACATTTTTAATTGTTCGTTCATAGTGAAATGGCAATGTTATTTCGCGTTCTTCCGTGCAAGAACGCCCCCTTTTACGTCCCTCTGAAAAAGCTTTCATTATTTAATAATAATAAAAAAGTTCAATCACCATTATCTTACGATTAATTTAAAATGGCCATTAATTCTCGCTCATTGATAATCCAAGTTTAATTAACCACTTGACCATGCACCAATACCCTGAAATTTCATATTACTATACAAATCCTATGGTACAGCGTTGACACGTTTATTAGTTGGCACATCCAGAGACATATCTCTGGCACATCCAAGATATTACCTTCACAGCATTTTTTCTAGATATGTTTATATCTATGACCCACTCTTTGAGACCTAGCCTAAGTATGACGAAAGTGCTATATATAACGAAAACAGCGGAGAAATGGATTAAATAGACTTGCTGTATTGTACAAACTAAAGAAGGTCGGAGTTGAACTAAACCCGAAAAATTCAGTCTCTCCCCGTAATCGATTTCTCCTATATACTTGTGAATGAAGTAATCGTAGATCAGCGGAATATAACGACTGAATTATTAGGGTAGGTGCAAATAAAAGTCTGAATTAACCAAATATGTAGTTTCATAAGGAGGGACCTGGACAGCCTGCCCCCATCCCACCCCCTAAATCAGCCCCCGAGTTGTCATACGTATTGACCGTTCTTGGCGCACACACGGTTTTCATTGCCTTTGTGTATTTTTGTACAAATAAAAAAAAATGATTATAGTACTTAATTCAATCCATTTTCTTGAGACATATTACACGTACACGAATCATAAATTTTATACGTTTTTATAATTTTGAACACAGCGTATGTCCTGGGACCTGACCTGAAATATACATGAAACATAGAAAATTCATGATAGTAACGTGTATAGGAGCAACATTTAAATTCAAGGGGTTAGGGGGTTTGGTCTGAGTCAGAAATCATTTGGAACACAACGTTATTCCCAACTGTTACCAAGCAATTTTTTTCTCAAAATAAACGGTATGGGGAAATCTGGAATTCGGAATATTTTTTTGTCATCTGCCTAACCACAATATTTTTTTCTCTCATCAAATTGGGGATCAGAATATGATTTTATGAGGGGGAAAAAGCAGTCACCCACCCCTTTGAAGTTAAATGGTTGTCTTAAGAATTAATTAAATTGATATAGGTATGGTGTTTCAGGGGGGCTATCAGGGATTTGGAGTACTTGTATTCGGGATTATTTTTATAATCTGAATATAAAATAAGTGGTACAAATATATAATTACATTAGATGTATGTTTCATTATAATACGTTATTCTGAGTGGCTAACTGAAATCTCGCGTTATTCCTTAATCAACTTCATTACACAATGAAATTTATCATTCATGATGACACGAGATCCAACAGTAAAGTGCACAGGCAAATTAAATAAAATCAAAGCGCGAAAGCGCTGTAAAGGCAGTTAATTACAGGTTGTGTGTATTTTTAGTCCAGTTATATCATTATCTTGCATAGTACATTGTACTTATATATCAGAGGTGGCTTTCAGTATTTAAGATTTAGAGTTCTCTAATGATATTGAACAAGTTTTATGAATGTCATATTCTGAGCACTATATGAAGGCGATTGTTCTCACTTGTTTATGAACTAGTGCATTATGTCCAGTTTGTACCTTTTTTTATCTATGTTTATAGTCAAATACTGTTTAAAATAGTTTGGCATTTTCTTTTTAGTAATAAGTAAATGTTATCAACTGTATTTTATTCAACAATGTGGTTTGTTACTGGTAAGTACAATGTATGGATGATAGTTGTTTCATTGGCAATCATAACACATCTCCTTATTTATATAAAATGATCTATATTCAACGACCTCAGGTACAAAAAAAATGTATGTAACTTAACTATGATTGGAAACCCTTGACTTCTTTCTTTTACATAAACTTTTGATTTGGTACCATAGAACTATGTAGAATAATGTACATTGCAACATGTCAACTCTTTCAATGACAATACTTTTTTTAGAAACTATAACTCCAAGCAAAATTATATTTCCAAGTATAAAGTAATTTATGAATGAAACAAGAGTGCACACGCTGAAATGTCTCGCCTTCTTTACTAATCATTGATATTATGTTGATAGTCCTAAATATAAAGCTTTATTACAACTGTCACATAAACTTAACATTAACCAAGTAAACTAAACATTGACCAATGAACCATGAAAATGAGGTCAACGTCAGATGAACCATGCTAGGCAGGCATGTACAGCTAACAATTCTTCCATACAACAAATATAGTTGACCTATTGCTTATAGTTTAAGAAAAACAGACCAAAACACATAAACTTAACACTGAGCAATGAACCTTGAAAATGAGGTCAAAGTAAAAAAAAAACCTATGTGACTGACAAATAGATCATAAAATATTTCCATACATCAAATATAGTTGAACTATTGCATATAGTATTAGAAAAAAGACCAAAACTCAAAAACTTAACTTTGACCACTGAACCATGAAAATGAGGTCAAGGTCAGATGACACCTGCCAGCTAGACATGTACACCTTACACTCATTCCATACACCAAATATAATAGACCTATTGCATACAGTATAAGAAAAACAGACCAAAACACAAAAACTTAACTATAACCACTGAACCATGAAAATGAGGTCAAGGTCAGATAACACCTGCCAGTTGGACAGTCCTTCCATACACCGAATATACTAGACCTATTGCTTATAGTATCTGAGATATGGACTTGACCACCAAAACTTAAACTTGTTCACTGATCCATGAAATGAGGTCGAGGTCAAGTGAAAACTGTCTGACGGGCATGAGGACCTTGCAAGGTACGCACATACCAAATATAGTTATCCTATTACTTATAATAAGAGAGAATTTAACATTACAAAAAATCTGAACTTTTTTTTCAAGCAGTCACTGAACCATGAAAATGAGGTCAACATGGTCAAGGACATTGGACATGTGACTGACGGAAACTTCATAACATGAGGCATCAATATACAAAGTATGAAGCATCCAGACCTTCCACCTTCTAAAATATAAAGCTTTTAAGAAGTTAGCTAACACTGCCGCCAGATCACTATCCCTATGTCGAGCTTTCTGCGACAAAATTCGCAGGCTCGACAAAAAGGAGTTCTTAATTAAGAAATAAACTGATTCGCTGAGCGCAGCTGGATACACCTGCAGAGGTCCAACCCTGAACAGTTGGGGCAAAAATGGACACAATATTCAAGCTTGATACAGGTCTGAATTTGGATTGTAATTAAATATTTGACATATTATAATGACCGACGGGTCAAAATAAGTTTTCGCGAACTCTGGAAATCGGTTATATGAATTGAATTTATATTCAATAAAAGATTTCTTGTTGTTGTGCAATACACTGTGCTGTTGCGCAATACTTAATAAATCTGTTGCCAGACTATAAACAAATAAAGTTCAATTTCTTCTCAATGTCATATTTGAAATTTATGAAAATCAATAGGGAGATTACATCAATAGCTATAAATAATTCACCAAAGTTTCATGCGAACTGCTTAAAACATTTTTGAGTTGTTGTCCAAAAACTGGAAAATCCCCCCTTTTTTAATGAATAAAACCCCACAACTCAGAAATGTAAAATCTAAAATTTATAAAATTCTAAAGGGAGCTTACGGATTGATAATTTAGTCTTAGATGCAAGATTTTTTTATCAGTTGTTAGTGGCTTTGAACATGCTGTCAGTAAATGCGAGTACTCTCAGATCTGTACTTAAGTGTCTATTTGTTGTTTGGATGTACAACTACCCGGCCACGTCCACTTGTATTTGTATTTATCCATCTGATGAGTTAAGCCTCTTTCAACTGATTTTTATAGTTCGTTCTTATATTGTACTGTTACACCACTGTCCCAGGTTAGGGGGTGGGTTGGGATCCCGCTAACATGTTTAACCCCGCCACATTCTGTATGTACATGTATGTGCCTGTCCCAAGTCAGGAGCCTGTAATTCAGTGGTTGTCGTTTGTTGATGTGTTGCATATTTGTTATTCGTTCATTTTTTGTACATAAATTAGGCCGTTAGTTTTCTTGTTTGAATTGTTTTACATTGTCATTTCGGGGCCTTTTTTAGCTCACTGTGCGGTATGTGCTTTGCTCATTGTTGAAGGCCGTACTGTGACCTATAGCTGTTAATTTCTGTGTCATTTGGTCTCTTGTGGAGAGTTGTCTCATTTGCAATCATACCACATCTTCTTTTTTATATTTACATCAACAGATATAAACAATTCACCAAAGTCAAACTTAGTTGTAAGATCTCTGAAATTTTTTACACGGTACAAGTTTTTCTAATTGTTCATGTTGTTGGAGATTGTACGGTAACAGTAACACCTGTAACTGCTTAACCCATTTCTTATGCACTTTGGTTCGATAAACTCACTGAATATCATACCACATCTCCTTATTTTTATATGCATTACAATTTACATGTGCATGTAATTGTAAATAATATTTATATATTTATATCAGAACAAACTTCATTGCGTCACTTTTATTTATGCATCCTTTGGCACAATACAAGTTCTAAAATTACACAACATAAAACAACTAAATGTTATTTCAGATGAAAGTTTTGTTTCAGTTCCATTCATAGGATTTATTAGAATTTTGTATGTTTTGCCAAGTCCAATAATTAGCTCTATGTGCACGTGTTAATTGGAGACTTTTCTATCCCGTATAAGAGTTTTGGAACTAATTCTGTTTCTTTTTTTGAAAAAAAGTGAGCAAACAAATCTTGCACATTTAAACCTTTGTCTGCCATCACACTGTCACCTGGATCACATAATTGAACTATTCTACATCTTTCAATTATTTCACAGTCACTGGTACAACCAACATATGCATTAGAAACATAGTTGACTAAACCACCAGGTGTCGAACATACAAGTATTTTCAGTGTTTCTGTTTTTATATGATGAAAAGGTTGCCTGAGCTCTAGGAGCTTTAGGTTTTATCACGGGATATTCTGTGCTGTCAATAATAATCCAAGTTGTAGGATACTTTAATTTGAAGTTGGATGGCGAAAAATACCTGACTAAACCACTTAATGGCCAAGTGTTAGCCTCACGCCACTGTTTAGACATAAAAACAATCCATGTTTACACAATATTCTTAACACTAGTTTCAATCTAGAATCTAGACAGTTCAAAGTTGGTTGTATAATGCCTCAATTTCATCAAAGTCATAAAAAAACTGATTTTCAAATGACACCCTATCAATTTGAAAATATATGTATCTCAAACAATGTGCTGCTGGACCAAGTGTGGTGAAAACAAATAAAAATTTAGTATACAACTCTAATACCGGTATAAAAATGCATGGCTGTGTCACGTGTCTTCATTTCAAAATTCTCTGCTGAAAATATAGGCATTGATGGTGTTTGCGTAATTCCATCTGTGAAGCTCAACATTAGCTCGGCAGTTGGTGGTGGACAGTCATAAATCCTGTCTGCAGTATGAATGACTTCTTCAGGAAAACCAACTTTATAATCAAAACTTTCCTCTAGATTTCTACTACAATATTCATCAAGTTTAGTTCTTTTGTTTTCACAGGAAACTGCCCTGATTTTTCTTTTTGCGGACGATTCAGTCTCTTGCTTGGTCCAGGAAAATAGGCTGGGAATGGCAGTAGATTTAAGTCTCTGTATGGTGGGTTTGCGCCCTGAAAAAGGTTATAAAACATTAGTTTTTTGATAATTAAATGAACTTCCATTAGCAATGCATACTTTGTACTACCTGGCAAAATATTAACTAGATTTATTCATTACAATCTGGATAAAACTATGTTAGCCTGAATCAATGTACATCAAAATGTATGTTATGTAAATCCAAAGGACAAACAATGAGAGACGTATGCAACAAACATACATTGTTTGTACCTAAATAACTATAATATAGATGAGAGCATGTCAATGTTTTGTTCCTGTTAACATTGTCATTGATATTTTTCAAGAAAGTCTATGAGGCATAGCTTATGCATTCCTGTCGTTACTACATTAGCATAATTACTGCTAAAATAATTCTCAGTATGATATACCTCTTGTAAGAAATCATTATAATTGTAGCAAGCACCAAAAAATCTCAAACAGATCACATTGAATCGTAATCCAAAAAATTATGACGTCTTGAATTACAATGTAACCACCCCCTTTTATTCTAAACCGATAATTGCGGTTGTAAACAGACTTTGGTTTATTCGCATGGCGATTACATATATAACTATATATTTTAAAAAGAAAATAGAGTTTTACCATGAATAGTTTCCTGCACGTAGTCTTTTTCAGTAAAATCTGCCTTGCAAACAACAGCTGATTGAGATGGACTCCACGATTTCATCGTGTTCTCGTCCAATCTGCGTATGGGCCATGGCGTTGATCCAACTTTTCCTTCTTTTTTAAGTCATTTGGAAATGCATGTCCTCCTCTTAAATGACATCCAGGTACACAACAACAAGTACTTGGCATGCGAATCGTTAACTAAAAATGCAACTGTAATAGTTGCAGTGCAGAAACCGGAAGTTGAAGAACAGGATCGGCTACCACGGCGCCACCTATTCAGGAACGATAATTTGCTACTTTATATAACTGCGAAAATAACAATAACGTTAGACGGGTTCGCGTGCATAAACAGAAATGCGCTTTAAATTGTATAATATAATTCATGTTCAGTCGACCTTTAATTATTATATCAACGACTGAAATGATTTATAAACATCTAGTTTGCAGATAACACTCGAAATTAACCAGACCTCTTTCCACACGGAATTCAAACATGTCAAATAATTCTAGTTTGTCAATCGGTTGACTGCTTATAATGTAAAATACAAATATATCAAAAGTTTTTAAAACTAACAAAACACAATGATCGTTTCTCTATTTTCCAATGTAAATGAAATGAAACAAAAAACATTTTATATCACAATAAGAAGAGGAGAGAATCAACATTTTCCGGATCTACTTGGAGCCTAATGACCCCCCACGTAGATAAGTTGGATATCGCGGAAAGAAAGATTAACACGGCAACTAGAAAGGCATTAAAGCACTGCCTTTAAAAATGATAAAAATCGTGTTTTCATGATCCTAGCTAATTAACAATGTAATTATAAGTATTGGATGCTTCTTTTTGTAACTTCATAGGGGTGTAAAAGCATTGACCGTGCGCACATTTTTAGAATGAAGCGCTTCCGCGCTTCATACAAAAGGTACTTCGGCCAACGCTTTTACACCCAAATGAAGTTACAAAAAGAAGCATTCAATTCTTAAATATAAAAAAAACATTTGGAAATCAACTTGACAAGATATCAGAAAACGGGAGCGATGAGAGATCGATTTTTAATTACATTGAAGTTATCCTCGACATACAAAAAATAACTAAATAAGTTGTCTAATTTGTTGACAAATATAAATATTCGTGGTAAAAAAATGACAAAACATTGCGTGTGAGGGTCTACATGGAGTTAACAGAATAGACAATTCGGGCAAATCTGATGAAAAAAAAACGAAAATTCGTAGTTATAGGAAATTAACCCAACGAACAGCAATTGAAATCTCATCCCCAACAAATTGTACCTCACGACCTGTATAATGCTGGAAGTGGTTTAATGTGCTTTTGGAACACCCTTTAAAAATATGAGTAGGGTTCTGCAGGCCACGGCTTAGGTAGCACTTCACAGTTAGAAAATAAAATTAAAATTGAGCCACAGAATGTTTAATAATCTTCCAATCCTGGCCTTCTAATACATTAGGCCAACTGCAGCGCTTGTGTCATACATGCGAAACTACACACCTATCTATGGAGTGCTACCTTACTCGAATGCTCCCGATACAGTTATGCTGATGAAGATATAATGAAACTAATAGAACCGTGAGTTTTTAACGACCTTGACTGGCTATACATATATATGGAAGTTTTTAACGACCTTGACTGGCTATACATTGCTCGGTCGGCTATATAGGGGGAATGGCACGGTGCCCACCCCCTTTTTGTGGGAAAATAAATGTTGATTATATAGGGAATCACTTAAGAATGATATTAGCAGTTAGTGCCCCCTCCCCTTATATAAAAAAATCTGGATCCGCCACCGAGAACAAGTTAAACTAAAACAAATAATGCCGAAAATGGAACATCTCAAGTATATAAGGTAATCACACTCCCACTCCCGAAACAAAAAAAACCCCGTCATGTTATTGCAATCTAATAACAGTTATCTAATTCGCTATATTATTGTTTTCATTAGTTTACAAGTTCTGACCTTCGAAATTGTTTTATTTAATTTTCCTATAGACTTTTATGGTAACCCCCTTTGCCCCTAAAAAACAAACAAAATAAAGTTTCCCTCCCACAAGATTCAAAACTTAAACGTTGATTTGAAAAAAAAACTTGATTTTAGATTTTCGGTTATAAATTGAAATGAACCTTCTAGAGCCTCAACTTTATCGCGCACAATAATTTCAATCATTACACATCAAATTTAACCCTAAATTGACATTCCACAATCGGTCAGTAACATCACCTGTGTTTATAGTTACATGATATTTCCCGCCGTTGGAAAATCTCGTGCAGTCGACACAATTGATCTGAGCTATTTTTAACATTCTCTTTTGTGAGCGAAGTCAAGTTTAAGATCAAGTTGATTACAGATATTTTTGGCGTGCATTATTTCATTATTTAAAATGTTCGGTCTACATTCGTTACAGTCTAATTTTTAATTAAAAGAAACGTAACATCATTTCTTTTTTTTTTGTTGGCAATTATAGTAAATTAATCTCATCCCGGAATGTATATAATATACACTTTAACATTACACCTGAAAGTGCTTTATAATAAACGGAGAAACTGTCTAACAATTAAAATTTAAAAGAATATTATCTCTCAGGCATATTTTAAGATGAGTGATTGTTGGTTGCTTAACTTCCAGTGGCAAATATTCCATGCATGTCGGGACGAACTTAGTTTTAAGATCGCACTCTCAAAAATAATTGAAAAACAATAATGATCAGAAAAACTTTTATTCATGTAAAATAACCCTCCAATCTTTTAATTAGAACTTATTTATTTTTCACAATGTAACAGATTAGTTTACAAGACGTGCATTGAGGTATACATGTACGCAACTTTCATATCTTTTAAATGGAACTTATTTGTCTAAAAGACAACCTACGAGTTAGCGAAATCGAGTTTGAAAGGACTGCATTGTGCGTAAATACATATACATATTATGAAACGACGGTCGGTGTATTACCAACATACTGCTATACCAGTTGACCCCTGATATCAACTAAGGTTAAAACTTTCCCCTGTCCGTCAGAAATGTAAAGCTTCAATTCAATGTTGACACCTGTATCAAATAAACAGATGGTTCATTGTATTTTAGTTCCAATAAACGGTTCTTTTTGTATAACCACAGTTGAATAGTAATTCAATAAAACAAATGACGGATGAACTAATTAATTATGAATATGAAATAATGTCCAAATGTTCCTATATACTAGTATACACATTCGGACTACAATTCGCAACTTGTTATTATCTCATCGAATCATGTTGTTTTGTTTATATATGCCTTCAACCCCTAGGAGTATAAATGTGCATTTCATTAATAAAGATTAATGGATCACACAGGTAAATCAGATCGTAGTAAAAATTCATATTTGCCAATGAAATTTAAATGATCTCTGGCCTCGGACATATACATATATTTTTCTATTAAACAAGTGTCAAATCAGTATGTGACATCTTGCCGGATTACGGCATCTACAGTAATAAGACTATTAGTACAGGAACTGATTTCTTTTCTAAACATGACAATAAAGAAGAATTTTATAAGGTGAGAATATTTGTAGTTGTGTATTTCAAAGTTACCACGTGTATTCATCCTGTTCATCGGTCACATTAAAATAGATTTTTCTTTATTGAACAATAACCAAATTCGATATTTAAATATTAAGTAACTTTATTATCTCGACTGAAAAGGGTAATACGACAGTTTTTTTTATCTGACTGTAAACATTGTATATATCACAACGAGCTATTAATAACCGTCGCTCACGCACCAATAGTTCTATTGACGACTCAATACACACCAGTTTTATCGGACCAACGGCTAATTCCCGTCGACACTGTATAATGGATTATGTAAACATCTATATACAACGATCTATTAATAACCGTCGCTCACGCATCACTGGTTCTATCAATGACTCAATACACACCAGTTTTATCGGACAAACGGCAAATTCCCGCCGACACGGTAAATCTCCGGATGACATGCATAATTTTCTGTGACACAGCAAATTTACGATGAACCTCTAATTATTTTCCGTTCCGCGCAGATTATCCAAAAATCGCGGTCATTTGCCAAATAGGTCTACCAGTGTGGGTGTCAAGTACATTGATAAAGTTAAAGAAATTCTGATTTTGCCTCTATAGGTGGTTTCCAAATTTTGAAAGAAAGTGATTTTCTTGGGTACCATGCATGTTAAAATTGGACAGCTATATACTGTAAATTCAGAAATTATTGAGATTCAGTATTGTGATTTTAGGGAAATCTGCACACAAATGTTTGTATCAGATATGTGAATGTGAGTTCTCATTATTGCGATACTAACACAGACATTATTCGCATTAATAAAATTCTCACAATGATTTCTAAATTTGCAGTAACTATTTTACAACATTTTTTACTTAATTTCACCTTTTTATCTAAGTCTTTTACAACATTTTAATGTAATTTTACTTTTTTGATTGTCTTGACCATATCTTAATTTAAGCTGACCTTTTAACTGTGTCTTTCATGGATTCTTAAGATCATTTTACCTTTTGATCAGTCTATCACTGTATTACAACTTAATTTTACCTTTTTACTATCTAAGTTTGTCACTGCCTCATAACTGAATTTAAACAAGCATTGTGAGAGTATCGCATGGCAATACATAGTCTCCTACCGGTTAAAAATTCATTGTACTGGAACAAAATGATAACTTGATCTATAACTTGTCATGGTGTTAACTTTATAACAAATATCAAGTCAATATCTTCAAGCATGATGAAAAAAAGTGTGGAAAACTGATTATTTAAGTGAATTTTCTATGTCCAAGGACCATAACTCTACACAAAATCATCAGACAGGAACAAAAAATCGAACTTGATCTGTAACTTGTCATGATAAAACTATATACCAATTATCAAATCAATATTTTCAAGCATGACGAAAAAAAAGAGGAAAACTGATAATTTGAGTTAATTTTATAATTCCAAGGACCATAAACCTGCACCAAATCATCAGACCGGAACAAAATTCGAACTTGATCTGTAACTTGTCATGATAAAGCAATACACCAAATATCAAATCAATATCTTCAAGGACGAAGAACAAAAGTGTGGAAAACTGATTTGCCGGACTGACAGATGGACAGACAGACAGAGTGCAAACCTTAAGACCCCTTTGACTTTGTCGGTAGGGGACTAAAAAGAAGTCATTCATTGCATCTTAACCAAAGACCTGCACAAAATAAAATTCTGTTTTCTACCCCTTATTGCCACAACTTAACATTTTAAGGACATTTCCGGCTCAAGCAAGGGTTATAGTCAACACATTTTTTGTTCAGCAATGTTTAAGTCATGAATGTTTCCCTATATCATGCATATAGTCTATGTAAAATATTTATTTCAAATAATTTGACCTACATACCAGGCTGCCAGGAGGGCAGGGTTGGTTATATATGTTTTTTGGAACAAATACACCTTAACCTGTCTATTTATAATTTTGACAGTTTGTTCTTATGTTGTGCTGTTATAGCACTGTTCCAAGTTAGGGGAGGGTTGAGCATTCAGACATGTTAAACCCTTCCATATACTATATGTTATTGGTAGACCAGGAGCCTGTAATTCATTGGTAGTCCTAGCTACTGCCGGTCATATCTGGTTTTTTTTCATTTACTTTTGAATTGTTAAACATTTAGTCATGTTGGGACCTTTTATAGCCGACTATACGATATGGGTTTTGCTCATTGTTGAAGGTCATACGGTGACATAGTTGCTTAAATCTGCTTTATTTGGACTCTGTTAAATAGTTGTTTCATTGGCAATAGTACCACTTCTCCTTATTTTATATGTACCTTTTTATCTAAATCTTTCACTGCATCTTCAGCATCGAGTGGGTTTTCAAATGTTACAAATCCGTAGCCTCTTGAATGACTGGTATCTTTTTCTCTGATTAGTATGACTACAATGTTAATATTGCAATTATATACAGCTATGTTACAGAAATTATTATCAATAATATTCTTTTGGTTGTTTCATTAAAACATGTTATGCTATAGAAATAATTTGTTTTCTGAAAAACATATTTACAATGTTTATGATTGATTACTTTATTTTAGGTTTAATTTTAATATTTTAAAATTTCTAGAATTTGAAAATGCATAAAACTAGACATTTCCAAAGTAGGTTTGCAGGTAAAGAATGAAAGTCTAGTCTTAATGGAACAACCTTGTTTCCATCCTGTTCATTTCAAGGACATGTCATATCATTGTCTCTCACAATAAAAATTACCTATCATTATCATAAAATTGTATTGAAAAAAATTGAACTACTTACTGAATCAGATATTAAATGGTTAATGATTAGTTGCATGCATGTAAATTTGGCCTCAATCTGAAATTAGACAACAACTTACATAATACATATTTATAAATATACATGATATAGATTCATTTGTTTGCAAGTTAATATGTATATGTCATTGTCTTATTTGGTTACTGAGGCCAGACTTGACAATAATTGCTTCAACCATATTTTATCTAAATATAGGTCAATTACTTAGAATTTGCACCACCATCTATTGAGCTATTTTTTATTTATCTTGTGAGTAGGAGACATAAAGTTATGGTGTTTATGAAGTTTGTACCATATGTGTAATATGAGGTGATCACTGTGATTTTTATAGTTTAACATATTATAATGATATTTGTACCTTCTGTTACACGACCATAAGCAGTGAACTTTTTTTCTAGATCTTCTTCAGCAACGTCAGGTGTCAGACCTCCTACAAAGACTTTACCAGGGCGGTCCTTTTCTTGTTCATCTATTGGCATCAGGGTCTAAAACAACAAACATCAAGAAATTCATTTAATTGCCTACTAGTCAAATGCGTTTTGTTAAAATATACTTTTCACTTTTTTGGTCTTTTGGAAAATGTTGTTTGTGCTGTATTTAGACCCCTCTACCAAGAATTTTTTTTTTACATGCACACGTATAAAAATTGCGTTTTTTATCCAACGCAATCATAGGTTTGAACATAGTTTTCAATTTAGACTTGTTTATATTTTTTCGTTTGGGCTTGTATTATATTTATAGGACTCTAAAATGCGATGGTACTCTAAAAGTGTGATAGTCACGCTAAAGTGCGATTGTCTACGCTAAAGTATGATGGTTGTTTGTTTGCTAAAGTACGATGGTATATCACGCTTAAGTGCGATGGACGAATAAGGTAAGGTTCGAGGGCTTAAAATGTTAAAGTACATGGATGTTAAAAAATAGTTTTTTTTTCAAAAGCTAGTATGCTCAGGTATAACACGTGTGACAACTTTATAATTTACCGGCAGGCTTACATGATTGTTTCTAAATTTAGAAGACCGACCAGGTAATAATTGCCAAAAAGTCATTTAGATGTCACAAAATACTATAAATTTTTTTAACAATTCGGGCGTATTAAATATTTGGATAATTGGTGTAGCTTGCCATTCACTCAGTCTATCAATAATCTGAACACCTCCCCTTACAGTCGTCATTGTAAATTACAAATACAAAATTCGTTCATTGTCGGAATATAAGGAACATTTTTTTGTACAAGCTTTAATGTAAATGCGAGAGAAAGGCGAAGTTCGCCTCGAGCTTCCTCCTTTTTCGTAGCGAGTACAAATACATGTTATATTTTCCTACAATGTACAAACTGTTATAATTTACGATTGAAAACATGTACCTTTATTTCACCAATGTTACTTTTCAAAAAAATCGACAATATTTTAACAGGGACCGCAAAGTAAACAATGATTTAATCAAATGTGTCCGTTCGCTTCCAATAGAAGCAGGATACAGGATACCTATGCGTATACTATTTTGTATCTATATAGTAAAATGGTCGACTGCAGGACACATTGTCAAGTCCTTCTTCCAGCACCCGAAAAAAAAATAACATTTACTTCAGCGGACAAAGCACAGTTAGGTTAGAAATAATGTCATGGACATTTGGTTTAAAAGTAGTTAATCAAATATTTTAATTTATCTTCCAGCATGTGCATTTTTGGTTTGTATAAACAACTGTTAACATCATAATCCAACTAAGTTTCTTACGTCTATACTTTCATGGACCATTGGACTTAAGCGTATGGAGGCATCACACTTTAGCGCAGACCATCGCACTTTAGTGTGACCATCGCACTTTAGCGTCCCCATTGCACTTTAGAGTCCTACATGTTTTCCTTCAGGTTTATATGATCCGTTCATCCTATTTCGACTCTTTAAAATTCAAGAGTCTATCCTAAATTGAGATAAATTATATGGCCTTCCAAATACCATTTCGATCCCTAACATCACTGAAGAGACATATATTGTCGAAATCCGGATATGGTGTACAAATTTTTGCACCTCATGTTTGCGGTATACCATCTTCTCCGCAAGTTTATTGTTTTCTAATTGGTACTAAATTAATAATTAAGATCCATGTTACATCTCGTGATCAATTTATTTGGCAATCGTCAATGGCAGTCAGCAGGGTTTAATAACATCTGACAGATGTTCCACTGTTAGTCAAATGTGATTTGTTAAAATATACTTTTCACTTTTTTGGTCTTTTGGAAAATGTTGTTTGTGCTGTATTTAGACCACTCTACCAAGAAATTTGTTTTACATGCACACGTATAAAAATTGCAGTTTTCATCCAACGCAATCATAGGTTTGAACATTGTTTTCAATTTAGACTTATTTATATAACACATACATATTGCACACAATTTATATATATGTATAATATGTGCTATTCCTTTTATAATGTGAAGTTGATTGTTTTGCATATAATAGTTGCAGAAGGGTCGATGCAAGTCTTTTAACTATGGCCCTGATAAACCCTCAATGTGGCAGAGATGCAATTTCATTTTTTTTTCTGTCAGACCAAGGACTGAACAGAAGGCAAACTTTTGCTGGTCCTTCATTTTCTTGGAAATTATTATCTTATTTGTTATAATATATCATATTATGGTGGGAAACATTAGATAATCGGGTCTGCAGGTCAGAATATTAATATATTTTTTGAAAATCCTGGAGAAATATTGATTCAATATGGGGAAAAAAATGTGTCTTAATGTAGTCAGGTTCCAGTATAATAATAAATAAATCGCCAGTTGCATTTTGTCAATGAACATGGTATTTGTTAATTCTGTCAAGAATTTCAATTAAATAGTTACTGTTACAACAAATGAGTCGATGCCGAAAGGTTTTGGAAGAAAGCCTCACAAAAACATGATGGTCAAAGCCAAACTATGTGGTCGGTCAGTAAATCATGAACACACGATTATTCTTGTCCCTATCAATGTTCAAGTCCTTCAACTTATTGCAGCTGTTTTCAAAGTGCCTTCACACTCGCCAACTACTAACATAATCAGTCATTCAAATTACTTTAACTGGTTCAAAAGTTGTGATTTCTGACCACAATAACAAATTGTAAAACAGGAAACCAGTGTCCAATGATTTGACAAACTACCGTACATTGAAAGATTGAACCACAATGACCCTTTTTGTATTACAGCTCTTTTCATAATGCTAGCAAGACAAAGGATTGTTTAGCTTGCTTGCTTTGTTTGTATAAATGTTTGCTCAAGCCTTGTAATTAAGATTGACATCTGCAAACAATATAAGTAGGCGGAGTTAAACCTGTGTATAGGTAAATTTGATTATTTGATAATGTCCAATCAAATTTATATATAATGTATACAAGTTTAAGGTAGCACAATACAAAAGCAACTAAATTTTATCAAAATTTCATTTTAAGCTGTTTTTGTTACTTCTTAATATTCCAAAACCACAGAAGAAAAATTCATTTACATATCTTGAACTGTTAATGAGTTTTGATGATAATTAGTTTTATAAACAAATGCACGTGTCTGACTGATACAAGATAAGAACATGTGGGCAGTACTTTGAGGTTAATCAATAGAATCATTTGATAGCTTTATGACCACTGACCAGCAATACAAATCACAGTTACGAAAAAGAGGTGGATTAGGGATTAATGGAAAAATGAAGAAAATGAATTCCAAATAATAATACATTTCATTAATGGAGCTGCCAGGAGAAAAAAAACAAAGTAACAATTTGAAGATATAGAGGGAATCAAAATATAAATGTACAGAAATTAAACAAATGTAATTTTATAACAATTAATGTACTGGAATTTCTTGGGGGAGAATGTTTAGATGTGAATTCTTTTTAAAAAAAATACAAATTAAGTATTTCATTTTCAAACTGCAAAATTGAACAAAATCTACTTTGTGTAAAACACCATATTGTCCTTGTATACAATTACAATTCTAAAAATCCCCCATAAGGATCCCCTAAACTGACCAACTGATCATTTTGTGTACACATGCATAACTTACTTTTTGTAACAATCAAAAAACAAAATATGTTATGTACTAAATGAATAAAATCCATATTGAAAAAAGTAAATGCAATGTGTAATTAAACTTCTGAGACCATTAGTAGTAAAGATTTATCATGGTTGGTGGAGTTTTGACCATATCAGTAGCAACTGACTTACAAGGTCAATAATGATATAACATCTCCCGCCAGATCTGGTTTTTGATGCATAGGGTGTGCATTTTCTCTTTATATTTAGAATTGCTGAAATTGAATGCTTTCTTACTGGTCAAAACCTAATTGATTTATGATTGAAGGCCAATCCTGAAATATCCCAATGGTACATGTGTGAATTATATTGAAGTTAATGGGGTACAAGTAGGAAAATCCTTATTTATTCAATTGAGACACATTCATTTTTGTCATGAAAATGTAGTTTTAAATGAATTTACCTCCTAGATGGGTGCCCCTATATTTCTGACTTTCACACGTTGTTCCTTGACCAGTTATCTTCAAAAGGGTGTCTCAGATTTCCAAAAACATCAATAGAACAAATTTTATACCCAATCAAATTTAGTGATCTCTTATGAATATAGGTTGCAAACTTCATTAAGGTTCATGAGAGAATGAAATACAATAGGAAAAATCTGAGACACCCTTTTGGAGGTCAAACAGTGTTTTACAAGAATCTATAAAATATTTTGGGATGCTATGAATAACAAAGAAGCTATTTTCATCCAAGTGTGGACATCTCAATATAGCAACTAATTACATAATAACTATGTAATAATTATGTCAAATTGACATTTTCACCATTTGAAAGATTAATCTTTCTTCTTTCTTTTGGTACCTCATTTATAAAATTTAAAGCTGGATGAAAGAAATTACATCAGTTTAAAGTTGTCTGATTGGGGGTGAAAAAATCTTTGTATTGTGCTACCTTAAATCCACCTTTTTATATTGTGTTCAGATGTCAATCTTAATGACAATGCTTGAGCAAACATTGATACAAACAAAGCAAGCCAAACAAACCTTTGTCTTGCTACCATTATGAAAAGAGCTGTAAAGTCAAATACCATACTTGCTTAAACATAAGTGGCCTTTTAAAGGTACTTTCAAAATTTTAACGGATTCTTAAGGGCAAATATGTGCATCTAATCAATCCTGCTTCAGGTGTAAAAGGTGCCAGTTTGAGGTGAGGTAGTTTGTAAAAATTCTATCAAATATAGACTTGAAAAGGGATTCAGAGATTGCTCTGACTTGAAATCCCAAAAGGGATAAGGCTGGGATTCACATATAATAAACATCCTGACACTGATGACAAATGTGTATATCAGTTGTTTATTTGAACTGAAAGCTTTCATGTCGATCCGGCCCCACGTTGATCCGGCCCAAGTCGATCCGGCCCACGTCGATCCGGCCCAACGTCGATCCGGCCCATATTTAAAGTCGATCCGGCCCCAATAAAAATATATTTATAAGGAATAAAAATAAAGATATATATTAATTGTAATTCATAAATGTTATAGAATTTTATTATAATGTAAAATGTGTACTGCAGTACGGTAAAAAAAAAAGCCTTTGACATATTGTCTTTACATGAGTATAAAACAACTAGGTTGATTATGTTTTCATTACAAGTTTTCAAAATTATTGGGTATAATTATATTAAAAACGTATATAACAGAATTTAGGACAATCAAAAGACATCAACATTAATCAGCAGTAATTAGCATTTTCTTTCAACTGAATGTGATCTTTACAAGTCTTTCATCCTGTGTAATAACAAATAGTTACATACACAATGGTACTAGACGATCTCGAAGCTGATACATACAATCTTTGTTCTTAAAATTTCTCAAATTGAGAAACGTTGTTTGATTTGCCGAATCCTTTCTGAAAATGTGCATTCAGTGTAATTGTTTATTTATTATCTTGCAATAAAGAATAATGGATACTCATATAACTTGTTTTTATTTTATCTACACACAACTATTCAAAATATTGTCAACTTTAAAAAAAATGTATTGACTACATTCGATATTACAAAAAAAAAGAAAAGTGTTATAGAAGCCTCTGATGTTACCTGAAAAAAAAATACCGGCAAATAATTATTATAAGACATAACACCAAACAAAAGATCAAACTATAAAGGCCTTGTTGATTGCGTAACTTTAATCAATCAGGATTTGATTGAATTAAGTGATTACAAGTTGCATTACCTTAGTTCACAATCATCAGACAATAGTTGAATAAACAAACCAATTATTATAGACTAATGATTTGATTAAACAAGTCATTATAATGAGTTAAACTTTACAGGTTTCATTGGATTGTAAATATTTATTTATCTCTTCTAAGTGTGATTTAAATAATTAAAAAATCGCCATGACATTCAAAGTTATCAAGGAAAATACCTTAATATTATTATGCTGAAGCTGCTATACAAACAGACACAATCACAACCATTTAAAAATTTTAAATCTTTCATCTTACTGGTACTCCAATATATTCATACTTTACTCACCTGTTGTCATCCATCATTGATACTTTTTACAATTCCCATTTATACTGATTAAATGTCTATATAGTTTATTCCTTATCATTTATTATGGGGCCGGATCGACGTGGGGCCGGATCGACGTGGGCCGGATCGACTTGGGCCGGATCGACTTTGGGCCGGATTGACTTGGGGCCGGATCGGTTTGGGGCCGGAACGACCGGATACCGAACTGAAATAAACACAATTTTATCGTTAATCTTTGCAAAGTATGTTTCTACGTAGATCCCTCCGTTTTCGGAGCACACCTTAACAGCTGCAAGGGTTCAGTAGAATCCGTGTACACGAACAATCAGGATTAATGGAGATGTGTGACTAACGTATTTACAATATTTACAAGGACAATCCCCACCCCAACACAAAGGGAGTGCTAGGACACCGGGCAGAGTCTATTATAACATAATGGTGGAGGAAGCTGAAGTACTCGAAAGAACCACTGGGCTGCTCGGCGGGAACAGACAAACTGAAGAGATATCAGCAGATTGATCTCCAGGTCAAAGTCAGGGGCAACTTTCACCAACCAAGGCCTTTATACACCTTATCGCTATTTGTCCGCCATTACTGGACATCACACAGGTTCCCGTAAAATTTTGACGTCATAATACAAAATATCTGACGCCATAATGGAAAAGTGATTGTTGTATGATGTCAATAGTTCAAGCGGGACAGATTCTCGGGTCAGCCAGGAATAGCGATAAGGTGTTTTGGCTTTAAGGACTCTTTCTAGTTTTAACTTCTTCTGATGTACAGAAATTTCCAGTGCCCCGAGTCAGAATCATACTCGGGACCTGCAGCATTGTAGCCATCGGTTTTAACCACTAGACCACGAACCCACACAATATTCTGAAAAGCAATTTTAGTTCGTCAATCAACCGCTAGGCGACACAAACGTACAGAAAACAACATCCACAAGCCAAACAGATCGATGAATCAGTTAAAACGTAATAAAAATATAGCTCTTCACACAACCGCCGACTACCGTATTAACTGAAATGTTTTCTCAGTCATGAGTTACTGATAACTTATCTGACTTGGTCATTTGGGGTTTTCAAGTATTCTTTTTTTCTCCACCAAAATAACTTCCGTCTGCCTTCGTAAAGCTGCACATACTTGTCTTTATTTATGCTATGTTATCTACAGATTGCTGAAATGATAAAGTTTTCAACTGAAGGCAAAGTGTTTAAGTGTGAACAGAGACATAGCAATATTTACCTATTTTTTTATTTTCTTTTGCAGCGTGTAAGATGGAAAAAAATGGCTACCAAAAATTCACGCATGCGCATATATCAAAGCTTTCTATGAGCCTCCCTTCTTAGGAGCACCATATTCCTCTTCTTTCGTTAATCAATTCTTTCTTTGATCTCCTTTCTACAGGTATGAATCGCCGTTCTATATCGGCGCATCCTCTTCTTCTTCTTCTTTAAGTTTCTAGCGATCCTTCAATTATTGAAGATTATTCGCCGGGCGTCGATTATAAAATTTTATAATTTACATTGTAGCAAGAAAATTAAAAAGAAACAAAATCAAAAAATCAAAATAATGTATGTACATTTGAAAAATTCATTTAGATAAAACTATATACATTTGATAACAAAATAGTTAGGGATAGAAAATGGGGATGAGAGCGGATTCTGAGATCATACTCTTGAATCCCTGTACTGTACTGCATGATACTATTTGTTGTGGCAGATGATCCTACATAGTAGCATGGCTAATGCCAGGGTCTCGGTTAACAGATTCAAATTTTGTTTATCAATGTTTTTCAATTCTTTTTTCGTATTTCCTGTCTATTTGTATTACACTATTAACGTTTTTAACGTTGGCATAAATATTTCTTTGTTTTCTATCCGGGCCATATTCGTATACTGAAAAATCCTGTGGGCTAATGCGCTATATACAAATATACACCCGCACGCATGCCAAGAAATTGCCTCCGTTGAAATTTTGCAAACATCCCATAGAGCAAATTACATGGATGATTAATTTTGACCATTTGGTATATGGCTGTGTTTTAAGTGAGACGTATACGCGGGTCATAAATTAATTTATTGAATGAAATCAAATCTTTAACTACTAATAGATGCCGTAGGAGGTCGACCGGAATTTTTAGCGAGGATTTCTTGGCATGTAACAGATAGAAAACTCAGGGTAAACTTTCATAGAACCGAGACAAGAGGCAGTGGCAAATATTTCATGTATATTTTGAACACAAAGAGGATTACCCCGGTACCCTTTGCCAAAAAAAAATCTTCTTTTTCTTCTATTTGCCAACGGACCTTATGTTATGAATTGTAGTTTCACTTTCCATATTCGTTATTTATTCTAATTTAAGCTCCACGTAGTAAAAAGCACGTGATTCAGGTATATAGTATCTTGGAGTTAGACTATTTCTTTCTTTTCGGGCGGGGACTCCAAGCAATCAATATGCATGTGTATAACAGCACTGTAGATTTTCTTATTAAATAAAAAAAGTTGCCGGTCTGGTACATGAATAGATCGGTTAGAAATCAAAGTTTTAATTTTAATTAGATTAGAGGGTTGAAAATAGAGAGCACAAAAAAAAAGGGGTGGGGGTGGGGGTGTTCCACAGGAAATATTTCCTTCTTATAAACTCTACATCTGAAAGGTTTAATTTTTTTTTTATTTAATAGAAAGAGAGAAAAACAAATGTAAGACAAATTGTGAATGGTCTTTCTTCCTTTCTCCCGTAACAGATAGAAAACTCAGGGTAAACTTTCATAGAACCGAGACAAGAGGCAGTGGCAAATATTTCATGTATATTTTGAATACAAAGAGGATTACCCCGGTAACCTTTGCCAAAAATAATCTTCTTTTTCTTCTATTTGCCAACGGACCTTATGTTATGAATTGTAGTTTCACTTTCCATATTCGTTATTTATTCTAATTTAAGCTCCACGTAGTAAAAATCACGTGATTCAGGAATATAGTATCTTGGAGTTAGACTATTTCTTTCTTTTCGGGCGGGGACTCCAAGCAATCAATATGCATGTGTATAACAGCACTGTAGATTTTCTAATTAAATAAAAAAAGTTGCCGGTCTGGTACATGAATAGATCGGTTAGAAATCAAAGTTTTAATTTTAATTAGATTAGAGGGTTGAAAATAGAGAGCACAAAAAAAAAGGGGTGGGGGTGGGGGTGTTCCACAGGAAATATTTCCTTCTTATAAACTCTACATCTGAAAGGTTTAATTTTTTTTTTATTTAATAGAAAGAGAGAAAAACAAATGTAAGACAAATTGTGAATGGTCTTTCTTCCTTTCTCCCGTAACAGATAGAAAACTCAGGGTAAACTTTCATAGAACCGAGACAAGAGGCAGTGGCAAATATTTCATGTATATTTTGAATACAAAGAGGATTACCCCGGTAACCTTTGCCAAAAATAATCTTCTTTTTCTTCTATTTGCCAACGGACCTTATGTTATGAATTGTAGTTTCACTTTCCATATTCGTTATTTATTCTAATTTAAGCTCCACGTAGTAAAAATCACGTGATTCAGGAATATAGTATCTTGGAGTTAGACTATTTCTTTCTTTTCGGGCGGGGACTCCAAGCAATCAATATGCATGTGTATAACAGCACTGTAGATTTTCTAATTAAATAAAAAAAGTTGCCGGTCTGGTACATGAATAGATCGGTTAGAAATCAAAGTTTTAATTTTAATTAGATTAGAGGGTTGAAAATAGAGAGCACAAAAAAAAGGGGTGGGGGTGGGGGTGTTCCACAGGAAATATTTCCTTCTTATAAACTCTACATCTGAAAGGTTTAATTTTTTTTTATTTAATAGAAAGAGAGAAAAACAAATGTAAGACAAATTGTGAATGGTCTTTCTTCCTTTCTCCCGTAACAGATAGAAAACTCAGGGTAAACTTTCATAGAACCGAGACAAGAGGCAGTGGCAAATATTTCATGTATATTTTGAACACAAAGAGGATTACCCCGGTACCCTTTGCCAAAAAAAATCTTCTTTTTCTTCTATTTGCCAACGGACCTTATGTTATGAATTGTAGTTTCACTTTCCATATTCGTTATTTATTCTAATTTAAGCTCCACGTAGTAAAAAGCACGTGATTCAGGTATATAGTATCTTGGAGTTAGACTATTTCTTTCTTTTCGGGCGGGGACTCCAAGCAATCAATATGCATGTGTATAACAGCACTGTAGATTTTCTTATTAAATAAAAAAAGTTGCCGGTCTGGTACATGAATAGATCGGTTAGAAATCAAAGTTTTAATTTTAATTAGATTAGAGGGTTGAAAATAGAGAGCACAAAAAAAAAGGGGTGGGGGTGGGGGTGTTCCACAGGAAATATTTCCTTCTTATAAACTCTACATCTGAAAGGTTTAATTTTTTTTTTATTTAATAGAAAGAGAGAAAAACAAATGTAAGACAAATTGTGAATGGTCTTTCTTCCTTTCTCCCGTAACAGATAGAAAACTCAGGGTAAACTTTCATAGAACCGAGACAAGAGGCAGTGGCAAATATTTCATGTATATTTTGAATACAAAGAGGATTACCCCGGTAACCTTTGCCAAAAATAATCTTCTTTTTCTTCTATTTGCCAACGGACCTTATGTTATGAATTGTAGTTTCACTTTCCATATTCGTTATTTATTCTAATTTAAGCTCCACGTAGTAAAAATCACGTGATTCAGGAATATAGTATCTTGGAGTTAGACTATTTCTTTCTTTTCGGGCGGGGACTCCAAGCAATCAATATGCATGTGTATAACAGCACTGTAGATTTTCTAATTAAATAAAAAAAGTTGCCGGTCTGGTACATGAATAGATCGGTTAGAAATCAAAGTTTTAATTTTAATTAGATTAGAGGGTTGAAAATAGAGAGCACAAAAAAAAAGGGGTGGGGGTGGGGGTGTTCCACAGGAAATATTTCCTTCTTATAAACTCTACATCTGAAAGGTTTAATTTTTTTTTTATTTAATAGAAAGAGAGAAAAACAAATGTAAGACAAATTGTGAATGGTCTTTCTTCCTTTCTCCCGTAACAGATAGAAAACTCAGGGTAAACTTTCATAGAACCGAGACAAGAGGCAGTGGCAAATATTTCATGTATATTTTGAATACAAAGAGGATTACCCCGGTAACCTTTGCCAAAAATAATCTTCTTTTTCTTCTATTTGCCAACGGACCTTATGTTATGAATTGTAGTTTCACTTTCCATATTCGTTATTTATTCTAATTTAAGCTCCACGTAGTAAAAATCACGTGATTCAGGAATATAGTATCTTGGAGTTAGACTATTTCTTTCTTTTCGGGCGGGGACTCCAAGCAATCAATATGCATGTGTATAACAGCACTGTAGATTTTCTAATTAAATAAAAAAAGTTGCCGGTCTGGTACATGAATAGATCGGTTAGAAATCAAAGTTTTAATTTTAATTAGATTAGAGGGTTGAAAATAGAGAGCACAAAAAAAAGGGGTGGGGGTGGGGGTGTTCCACAGGAAATATTTCCTTCTTATAAACTCTACATCTGAAAGGTTTAATTTTTTTTTATTTAATAGAAAGAGAGAAAAACAAATGTAAGACAAATTGTGAATGGTCTTTCTTCCTTTCTCCCGTAACAGATAGAAAACTCAGGGTAAACTTTCATAGAACCGAGACAAGAGGCAGTGGCAAATATTTCATGTATATTTTGAACACAAAGAGGATTACCCCGGTACCCTTTGCCAAAAAAAATCTTCTTTTTCTTCTATTTGCCAACGGACCTTATGTTATGAATTGTAGTTTCACTTTCCATATTCGTTATTTATTCTAATTTAAGCTCCACGTAGTAAAAAGCACGTGATTCAGGTATATAGTATCTTGGAGTTAGACTATTTCTTTCTTTTCGGGCGGGGACTCCAAGCAATCAATATGCATGTGTATAACAGCACTGTAGATTTTCTTATTAAATAAAAAAAGTTGCCGGTCTGGTACATGAATAGATCGGTTAGAAATCAAAGTTTTAATTTTAATTAGATTAGAGGGTTGAAAATAGAGAGCACAAAAAAAAAGGGGTGGGGGTGGGGGTGTTCCACAGGAAATATTTCCTTCTTATAAACTCTACATCTGAAAGGTTTAATTTTTTTTTTATTTAATAGAAAGAGAGAAAAACAAATGTAAGACAAATTGTGAATGGTCTTTCTTCCTTTCTCCCGTAACAGATAGAAAACTCAGGGTAAACTTTCATAGAACCGAGACAAGAGGCAGTGGCAAATATTTCATGTATATTTTGAACACAAAGAGGATTACCCCGGTACCCTTTGCCAAAAAAAATCTTCTTTTTCTTCTATTTGCCAACGGACCTTATGTTATGAATT